TTATTATCAGAAAACTTTTTTCACTCAAGCGGACATTTTCGTGAAATATTGGAAGTAATTGAAACATGTAAATTAAAAGATTATATATAAAAATATTAATCTGTACGAAAATTAAATTACATGTATATTATAATATGCGTAAACTAAAGAGAAATGGTAAAATTAATCTACATAAACGTAGGTACAATTCAAACTCAAACTATAAACGATAGAATTAATTCTGAAACGAATATAAATGAAACAACGAGAAATTACTAAATTAAGTTTGCACTTCGCGAAAACGTTCCATGCAACGAAAAGCTGAAAAAACAATTACCCTTTCTACAGGATAAGATGCTTTCAGGGACGAATTTACCAAGGTCGAAGAAAGATAATTATCTTTTATTTTTCCGAGGAAAACAGTGCACGCGAATGAGAGTACTGAAAATTAGAATTACCCAGCCGTAAAAGGGTTTTGTACGGCCAAAAATATTTTCATCATACTCACTGAGATTATCTTTCATTAAAGGAACTGATTAAATGTGTACACGTACATCTTCAAAAATCCTTGAAGGAGTTAAAAAGAAATTAAACATACGCTCGTAACTTAGTACTTTTCCAAACACAGATACCAATATTCTTAAAAAAATTCGACAGAAATTTAAGGGAAATGAAATCGGATCAAGAGGAAACCAGACGTGCGTGAATTTTAGTATTCTTTCGAAAAATACAAAAGAATCACGACGAACAAATATCTCGATTTCTCTTGTCGAGGAGCTTCATCCATCGAGAAACTCGCGAAATATTGCCAACAGCGGGACCTCTAGCCCGTGATCGACAGGTTACGTTACCAATTACGATTCACCGGCAGTCAAATGGAAAACTAGTCTGGCAGCCAGACTAGTGGGATTATGTCACTTGAGGAGAACGTAGCTTTGACGAAGTCGACCTAGGTGAACGCCGTAGCAACGTCGAGCTCACCGAGAAGAGGACTCCGCCACTCTGGCCCCGGGGTGAATCAGTCCTTTGTGCCTGCCTCTCTCAGGGTCAACCGCTTTCGGTGCAGTATATGCCTGCAACGTTTACACGTACACGCGTGGAACACGCTCGTCCGTCTGACCGTGGTCTACAGGGTGTCCTGACAATTCCTCAGTACTGGATAATTCGTGAAAAAAACTTTGACTTAGAACGGGCAGTAGATAAATTTTTATGAGTTAGGGTGTGCATCGAAGTCAATTGATTGCGAGATTTATAGGAGATTTGCATATATACAGGCAAGAATAAATAGTTGATAATACAGGTAAAAGTTGAAGCCGAATGTGAAAGATAATTATTAAAATAATTATTAAAATAAATAATTATTAAAATAAAGATAATAATCAAATAGGAAACTTATTTGATCCAAAACCTAAGGCTAACTTAAACCTAATCTAAATCTATTTATTTCCTATTTGAAATGGAAGGTTTGGAAAGTTCATAGAAAATCGAAGATCTGAGAGTTCAGTGGCGAGTTTGGAAAGCTCAGAAAGGGATGATTCATGGAAAATGAAAAAGTCAGGAAAAGTTGAAATTAAAGCTAGTGTACGAGATGCTTGAAAAGTTTTTCATTGTCGAATAAATCTTGGTTTTCACATTATATTTTTAGATGTTAAACTAATAAATGAAAACCATGGAGAAGAGGCGATGGTATTAGTATTAGTTCGATCTTAACTTTCGTCCAGTGTACGAAGGTTCATTCTCACTAACAAAAGCTTTTACGCTTTCTTCTGTGTTTCTTCACTTTCGATATCGAGACAGTGGTTTTTAAGTTCGAGGCGGAACTCGAATTCTTTCGCCGGAGAACGAGAAACAAATCATCTCGTATCTGCCGAAGAATCTTTACGCAACTTGCTACAGGAGATAGTATTATTATTCGAGGTTCAAAGAATAATTCAATGTAGTTTCTTCGATTCACTCGATCCACCCTGTATATCCTAGTGGTAAGGACTTTTTATCCTTCGCTTATTGCTGCAGGAAGTACCAGCGTCATAGCATTTTTTCCGGTCAGCACAAAAGAGTTTCTGCGTTTTGAGATTAAATTTTATCCGGACTGCGCGAAATAGCTACCAATAGACGATTATGGCGTGAAATTTTCAACTGCAATTACAGTGGCTGCAGAAAGGTATTTGCATACATCTTTGTTTTCCCACGGGGGATTCCTTATACTCTTTCTCAGATCAATTAAAAATAAATAAAACAAATTTTAAACTTTAGAGCGTCTTGGAATTTCAGAGAAATACCAAAGTTTTTGGTCCTTTTATGTGATAACTTTCAAATAATATCATTGGAAATTTAATAAGAATTTAGGAAAGGCAAGAAAAATTTAATTTTTGTATTTTACAAGATTTTCTCTGATAGAGAAATCATATTAAAATCAACAAGGTTAAGTAGCGTAAGATCTTAAATATCTAACCATATCAATTAAGAGTTAAGTTGTAATTGATTATATTTAAGAAAATCGAACATACAATTATAATATTTTTATCTCTCAGAAAAGCGTGTCTCAAAATATGAACATAATGAAGCGCGAATACCACTGTGTATAGCATTTTAAAGACGTTACACACATTTCACTAATAAGTACAATTCAAATGAAACGTAATAGGTTCTTTCTCATTGTTTGATCAGTTTGTATCAAATTATGAGGTTTCGCTCTTGATGATTTTCAAATTGTCATAATGAAAAGGTTCTCGACAGAGACAAAGATCGTGCCGCACGCGAGAGCGGCTTTTTGAAAGCCGTAACTTATTCTCCTTCCTTTTTTGTCTCGAGCCTTTTGGCGCGACGTTTCAGTAAAATCGACGAAAAAAAAAAAAAGAAAAGAAAAAAAAAGAAAGACTGGAGGAGAGACCGTGACTCCCGCTAAAGGGCGATGGAAAGTTCGCAGGAACCGAAACAGTGGCGCAGAGGGGATACAAAGAGCTTAGACGAGCGACCAAGTACAGGCGTACTGCTTAAAATTTCGCGAATTTTCTTTATATTCTCAGTTTTAGGATAGAAAAGAATTTTCTTTTCCATTCTAAAACACGAATTTTTGCAAGAGTATTGTTTTCGCGGTGTGCACGGCTGCGTTATCATATTGAGAAATGCCATTTCCGGCAATTCGTGTCGCATGCGTGTTAATTTGTTTATATAACGAATATGTCAATCGTTTTAAATTTATTAGTAATTTTTAATATTTAATTTTCCTGTGATAAATTTTATTTCCATCTTACCTTAGTAACTAATACCTCTCCAAATCATTATACCATCGTCTCGCATGGGTCGACGACTCTTTAAATCACGATAATAATACTAGAGGCCATCTAAATTGAACCTCTTTTCATTGGTGGCTCTTCGCCATTTCTTATTCATATATTCTTACACATATTTCTCTGCGAATTGCAAACAGCACAGCTTTTGCTTCAACCAAGGCTTTTGTTGCGATTTTGTCGTTTCAAATGTTCACAATTCTTCAAAAGATGTCGAATATTCCCGTACTATAGCACGTTCTCCATAATTATCCAAGAATCTTTTAGAAAATTCATTCTCACTTTACCACTTATGTTCACTGTTTTGGCTACTTTTGTCACAGAATGATGTTCTTCGTTTAATTTCAATATCGTGTATGCTTCAACTGGATTTCACTTTTTCTTGCGACCCATTTTTAATATTAATGTTAATGTGCATTTAACCGACTGTATTTCACACGAGTGTTACGCTTTCGATAGCTATTGCACGACTGAGGAACGTAAATATTCTACGACTTCGCCTCTCGACTATGGACAGTACATTTACATTTTCGTTTTTTGCATCACTTTGGAAAATTCCACCTCGGCAATGACATTCTACTTTACATAAACAATGTAAGAAAATATAAAGTGTGCTAGCTTTTAATCCTACAATCAATTTTAAAGAGTTTCTGATATTATAACATGGAACTGACTCAAAACGTTGAATCTTCGTCTGTAGTTTCCAGTTGCAATCAACTACTTTTACGTCTCAATTATTCATCAGTTGTACAACGAAAATTTTATTCACCCGTTCTATACAGTACACAGACATTATACGTACAATTAGTATCATAAATATTAAGATATTTGATTAAAATTGATAGCTACTAGTTTTAATGATTGGAGCGTTCTGTAACATACACACATGCAAGTCATCAGTTAAAAGTTCACACTGCTTCGAAATCAAAGGCAAGAAAATCATTACAACTCCGAAATAAAATAAATGAATTACGATCCGGTACGTTTTCCATCAACTGCATTTCGTTCTCTACCTTTCAAAACAGAACACGCTCTACATCACTGCCACTCGCTAATGGATTTCCTTATGCAACTCGATTTCTGTCTATGCATCATCAACAGAACTAAGAAAAATCAACCAGCAACCAGATGAAACGGACATTTTTCACATATATAACGCAGCATCAATCTTCATCTCCTACTGCAGAACAGTCTGGCAACGTTAGAATAGATTCTTCGAACTCTGTTGATAATTTTTCAGAAAATATTCGGAGTATCCATCCTTCAAATTTAGCCATCTAGTAAGAATAATTTAACTTACTGTAACATAACCTATATTCTAGTTAAATATATTTAGCGTGCTTATTGTTAAATTATATTACAGATTAAAACTGTATTAATCTTGAATAGAGTGAAATTTTGTACAGTATCAAAAAACGACATTACTCATTGGGTGCCCCTAATATATGAAATTGAAAATATCATGAAAAACTACCCAATTTCTTCGCAACGGATCGTTTTACCAAAAACTACTATTAGATTTGCTACTTCCTTCCAAAATATCTATACAATATAAATAATTTATATATTATAAAATATTTCGTACTGGTAATACGATACAATAATTATAAAATGAAATAACAAGTAATTGTAAAATAGTACAGAATAATACTGCCGTCTTTCTTTTTCTGAGCAAATGTTCGAAAACGTCCCAACGCCGTTCTTATTTGTACAAATGTCTTTTTGTCAACAGACGCATGAGAGTCGACAGCGGGTGATCGTGATCACCTGAGGGCCCCAGCAGTTTTCGGCGAGGCGTATCGCGAGATGGCGGACAATGGTATAGACAATCCGGCGTTCGCGAACGAGGACGATAGCGCGTGCAAATCGAACCAGAGCGATGACCAGCAAGTGACCTTGGACCACGATCGCAAGACGGAAGACGGCCCCGTGGAGAACGGGCATCATCGGACGCAGTTCGCGTCGCAGCAACACGCGGAGGCCGGAAACACCAGCCCCGATCCGCACTACAGAACCGAGACGAAGATCGAGCTGCCTGACAGCAACGACAAGACCGTCGCCGAGCCGAAAATGAACGGCGTTCACGGGAACGGCAACAACAACGACGCCAGTTTCTTGAACAACAGCGCGACCAGCGTGCAGATTAATGGTAAGTTTATTGTCGCTCGTTTCTAATTGCTTTTTCGCGACTTGATGGAAATTAGACTATGGACATTTTCTGGCTGTTCGATGATCGCGGATTTTCGGATTATTATGGCTTGATGATTTGACAAAGTATCTGGTTTCAAAGTGTCAGATGTGAACGATGAATTAATAGATATCTAGAAAATCTGCTATATGATCTACTATAAGATGAATATTTTAACATCAAATAAAAATTTTGTTAAATTACCATTCCTTCACGATTATCTTATCCCGAAGGTAAACTTGATTAGATTAGATTTGCTAGATGAATTAAGAAGCTTGAATTTTATCATAATTTATCCATAACATTTAATAATGTATAAAGATAAAGTTTGTTAAACAGAATAACATTCTGAAGATGTTGAATTAAATTTTGAAAATAATTATCTCGTCTCGAATTTACTAAGAAACAATTCCTTCAATAAAGGAAAGAAAATACTTCGATCAATTCATTTGGAAAGTTTAACTTTTAAAAGATCGTTGCCACGATCGTTCGTTCGACTTCACTTTCGTTTTTTCTCCATTTCTGCAACATGCTCCAAGAGAAGCGAAAGACGAAAGAGTGGGGAAAGAAACAGAAAAGGAGCAAGATTTACGCAAACGGAGAGACCGCAGGCTTTTACCGTACGACACGGCGAAAATTCTTCGCGACAAAAAGCAAACACGTGGACGTGGCCCGTGTTGTTGTATTTTTCCTCTCGTTCTGCACGCAATCCGCGCGTGACGCAAAGCGTAACCGCGATCCACCAGCTTCATCGCAAACGACGAGATTCGTCGACAATTTGGCATATACAAACTCGCGTAAATCTCGTTCGTACGCGTTCGATGAATAATAAATCAGCTTGGAGTGAGACACGATGAGATTGTTAGACGCCTCGAATCTGAATCTATTATTTCAAGAGCTGGTAGTTTGGTATCTTGTGCATCTGCGATAACGTAATTCGGTTGATTCCATTGGATTGACCGAGTTGTTGCCACGAAATTTCTAATGGATTCAGGAATTATTATTGGTTTTGTAATTTGGTGTTGAACTGCACGTGAATTGAACGTTTAGTACTTTGAGATGAAGACCATGCAACGCGATTGCGTTTGACCAATTGAATTTAAGTAATTCTTCGATTTGAGCTTCTTTAATTCATTTCGCTTGAGAACTTGGACAGGGATTTTGAATTTTACTCAAGTATATTTTTAAAAATTAAATCTAGACTATGAAAAAGTACTTTATTAAGAGATATATTTTTGTCATGTTTAAAAGTTTCGTATTCTCGTATCCATTATCTTACAAATCATTCAATTTCATTCATTCGTAGAAAAAAATTTGCATACACTTCATAATAAAAATGTATGTACGTATAGAGAAGAACGAAGCGATGATGATCAAGTCAATTCGTTTCGAACAATTTCCTGAATTTCTGTAAACACTTCGAGCGCATAGAATTGCAAATTGAACGACTGAAACCTCAAAACTTGAAACATGAAACGAGATCTTTGTAAATCATCGGTACGGTGCAATCGAAAGATTGAATTCCAGCTGCAACTGATCAAATTCTTCCAGAACTCATATTTCAAAAGTATAATAAAGATAAAATTGTCAAACATCAGATGGAACTATTTCAAAGCAAAATAGAAATTACAGTCGCTGAAATTACCGTTGATCGCACAATTTTACCAAATATGATCAGGACGAGCCAAACTTTCGATCGTTAATTACTATCACCAGCTCCAATGCGAACAGTTCGCCAAGAAAAAGTTGTTCGAGATCGGTGAAATGCAGAAAGTGCATGAAAGTTCCTTATACGTAATGACCAGCTTGCAAAGAAGTACCTTCACATTTCGAACAATGTATCCTTATAAATAATTTATTAAAGAAGTTTGATAAAATTGGAATTTTTGTCTATGATAAAAATCTTAGAAAAATCGTAGATTTAAGACCTTTCACATAAATTATTGTATTCTATGTAATAATTGGCTCGAAATGTGAACAAAAATAGGCAGCATGTTGTATTTTTCGTTTGTCTTAGGTTTCAGATCATTTCTAAAAATACTGAGCTTCCATTTAAAAAAATAAGAATTTCTTCATTTCGAATTTAACGAAAGAAACTAATCTGATGCAACTTGATTACATTGTCTAGTAGAAAATATAGAAAATTGAAGTAGTTTTACTTTTATTTTCTTATAATCTATAAACAGTCGTCTTTACTAAAATACATCGGTAAATTTCCCTTCTTTCTTTTCGTCTCTCGGTTAATATTTCAGTTATTTACACGAAAAACTAGCACTTTGGTTACATGAACGTTAACTCGTAAAAAAGTGATAACCATCAACCGCCGCCAGGAAATGTCAACTATTTTCTGCTCGTATGATAGAACCTATGCTACGCGAAGTTATGAGCGAAGGACGTTGCTCAATAAGAGTACATTGACTTTTGAACTACGTCCGCGTAAACATGTAATTAACCAACTTCTTTCCCTATTAACATCGATTCCGCAGCACGCGAGGTTCCGCCCCATAAGTAAATACTTTAATGCCACGTGTAATTTCCACACCTGTAAATTATGTAACTTGGTACAAGGTATTATAACGTGTGCGATTCAATACACACGAGTTTGGAACCACCATACTCGCTGTTGCATTAAAAAAAAGAAAAAGACTGTTAGTTATGGACGTATGATACGTCATTAATTACATAAAACAGAGTGCTTAGATTACATAAACTATTATGATATTTTTTTTCTTTGAAATTATGACTTAATGCGAGTCGTTTTACAACGCTGTGAAGTAATTGCTAAATGATGTTAAATATTTTACAAATGTAAGAGTGAAATGAGGTAACTTTTTCGTTCTTCGGCTTCTTATTTGTAATATAATCGTTTAAGAACTAAGATGAATAGCATTTTTTCAATACTAAGATGTTCTGAATTACTAGATGATGATCAATGTGACTGAAGTTAATAACGATTAAAAAGATTATAGGTATGCAAAGTACAGAAGTTTTTATTAGAGTGTTTGAAAAAAAATGTTAAATACTATCAAGAAGTTACGAAGATGTTTCTATACGAATTTGAATTGCAGTGGCAGACAGAAGAAAGTGCGAAAAGCAAATGGTAAATTCTATAATTAAAAATAGAGAGCGTTACAATTACAAAATTGCGTAACATAATTAGCATTAATTTCGAAGAATTAAAGAAAAAAATTCAGAAAGCTTAGGAAAATTAAAGAACTAAAGAACTGATCTAGTACAAAAGTTGCTAATTCTCATTGAACGAGTTGCAACTTTGAGATAAAATTTTCTCGATAAAAATTCCAAACTGATCCCAGGCTGCCAGCCTCTGCTGCCAGTCAGTATTTCAATAATTTTCCATTCTCCATAGACAATGGGAAAAAAGAGCAGATCGAGGCAGTGAACCTGGAGCTGGTCTCGATGAGGCCTTACGCTGGCAACAATCTCCAGACGAAGGGTCAAGAGGCATGCGAGGTTCCAGCTGATCCCTATGAGGAGTACTTCGTTCCGGTGAACGAGCATCGAAAGTACATCAGGTAACGAACGGTTAGAAAAATGTTCCTCTACTCTGTGTTCCTAGCTACTGTTTAACATTCGATCGTGTTCACCAGTCCGGGGCGTTGCGAGATCGCTCGAGAATCTTTTATTAGCAAAGAAATATGATGGACGAACATCGAGCAGATTTCATCGTCAGATAATTCCTTTTGGTTTTCTTCGTCAAGAGCTTAGTTTCAGAATGTTTCGTTCTTTTTTTTTTTCTTTTTAGTATAAAAAATCTTCGAAAGACTCTTCAAGAGATCTCTGGTTCTTACGATTCTTAATGAATTGGAAAACAGAAGAGTATCATTGAATTCATAGAATAGAATATATCGTTTGGTCAAATTCCTCTTAATTGCGTTTAAGGATAATTATGAATGTAACGGAGGACAATGGCGATTGGAATATTCGAGGTATAAAAATTATTTCGCTTCTGTTCCGTGTTTAATTCATACTACGTTCCGTTTAGTTATTAAAATGACATATTCGCTGATTGAATACAGATTGAAGAAACAACGTGTTGCTAAATTCTAAAAAATGCTTGAAATCACGACGTGAGAAAACGTTGAATTAATTTCATCACTGATTAAACGTCCAAGTCGTAAATTAACCTGAAGAAAGATTTACATTTTTCGAAAAATAAAATGTAAAAATCGTTCGGATGTATCAATTTTTCAGAGAGTAATTCCTCATCCTCCCCCGTAAACTCAAAATCTGATTTGAAATATTAATATTCATCTTGTTACGTGTCCCACATTTCTTCGCCTGCCGACTTACGCATGTATAATGTATTCCTAGATTCTACGCGTTTGCACTATGCTAATATCTGGGCGACAGAAACAGTGTTCTTCTTTGCAAGAACTTTAAAACGAAGATCAACGCACGTGTTTTAAACTTTCGAATTTTCAAATATTAAAGAAAGTTTCAAAAGCTTTGAGATCTTTAAGATTCTTAGCTATCAAAGAAGATTTCAAAGCTTTAGAGGCTAGTTTGAGAACAAATTACTCATTAAATAAGAATTTACGCTAGTATTTCAACAATAATATTTCGGGCAAAAGCATTGATAATTAATAAAATTAAACAGACAATATTCCCGTAATTGGCAAATTGAACCACAAACAAATATTGGCAATTATCTCAATGTTATGTTGGTTTTCAATTGGTTATAATTGGTTTTCAATTAAAAAAACTGCACACGATTGCAAGTATAATCGCTAACGGAGGAAATGCAAATATCTCGAGTGAAAAAAGAAGTAAAAATATTGCGGATACCGGCTGAACGAACAAAAGTCGCCAGACGTTGCGAATTACGTTCACCGATGGAGGCGCTTGCGAAACGAACATGTCACAACGTTTCATAGCAAAACGCAGGAGTGACCGTCTATTGCAGAAATGACCGTCCTTCGTCAGAAGTAGAACTCTACGTCGGCCTCGAATTACTTTATAATTCATCGCGAATAATTTTTATCTCCATTGCCTCGAGAAGAAGAAAGAACCATTTAAGTCTTTTGCAGTTTCAGCTAACCATCGAATATTATAAAACTCGCATTATAAACGTTACCATGAACGTTGATTCTTATGAAAAAAATTAAAAGTGTGTATCTTTGGCACATTTAAACCAGTATGATATTAAAGTTTTGATAACATAATAAAACAAACGAAATTTTACAAAATATAGGTTACTTAAAAGAGTGTTATTCGTAACTTGTCAATTCACTAATATTACTATTAGTTGGTCAATTAATTAGCCAGAAGCGTCCTTGATAAGAGATAAAGAGATAGCCTGAATTCTCCGACATTTTATCACGCTATCAAAGGATTAATTCGATCGAATAATATTTTAGTCTGCAAGAGCTGAGTGGTGTCGCGTAGCTGTTCCTGCCTTTCTCTCTTTCCCTTTCTTCTTTATTGCTTGCTTCTCGTTCGAGATTAGCGTTCGGGAATGATTTAAAAAAAAAAAAAAGCATATTTCGAAGATCTCTTTAGAAAAAGTCGTAGCAAGTTGATTTATGCTGTTTGCTCGTTTAGCGCGGCCGTACGAGATGCCTGCGCGGATTATATGCGAATATCATCAATATGCAGAGGAATGCACGGAGAAATAGTTCGAACTATTTTCGCACGGGGCATACACGACTGTTCTCCTTTTACCATTTTTATCTTATTGAAAATAAGGTATTGTACCTTTTCATTAGAAAGGAACGTTTTTTGAATGTAAATTTTAACGTTGAACAATGATTATCGTGCGAAAATACACATTATTATATTATAACAAATTTCTAGCTGAACTTTCTAACATGAAATTCGTAATTCAACAATTTCTGGTAATTTCTGTTTCCCTGAAATCTGGTACAGACGAGTACCGTGACATCATTGCGGTTTTTTCCCTCGATGCTGCTACATACAATAACGTCAGAAATTTTTCTGTAAAAATGTTCCACAATGAAAGTACTTGTCACAGCATTACCTACGTGAAGAATTTCGACAAAATCGCATCATTCGTCCGCGTATACCTTAAATCAATTC